TAAAAAAAAATTATTTTGTTTATGTAAATAAATAAATAAATATTATTTATCTATTTATATATTTATTTGTTTATATAAACAAATAAACAAACATTGTTTATATCTATTTTTTTACTTATATAAGCAAATAAACAAATCTTATTTATATATTTATTTATCTATATATTTATTTATTTATTTATTACATATAAATACATAAAATAAAATAATAAATAAAAATAAATAAAATAAATAAAATAAATAAAATAAATAAAAATAAAATAAACAAAAAATTTACAGTTATTGATAAGAATTTGTTGTAAAAACTAAATACAAAAAAAAAACAAACACAAGTAAAAAAAAACAAAAAAAAATAAAATAAATAAAACAAAATAAATAAAAATAAATAAAAATAAATAAAATAAATAAAAATAAAATAAAATAAAATAAATAAAATAAATAAAAAACTTACAGTTATTGATTAAAATTTGTTGTAAGAACTAAATACAAAAAAATACACAAATACAAATAAATAAAAACAAAAGAAATAAAATAAATAAAAAAATAAAAATAATAAAACAAAATAAAACAAATAGAAGTAAAATAAAATAAAATAAAATAAAATAAAATAAAATAAAATAAAATAAAATAAAATAAAATAAAATAAAAAACATAACAAACTTACAGTTATTGATTAAAATTTGTTCTCCTGTGTTGAGGTGTATACGCAGCAAACCACCGACCTCCCTATACACCCCGACTAAACGAATAGCAGCAGGCTGCAACAATAAATAAATAAATAAATAAATATAAATAAATAAATATAAATAAATAAATATAAATAAATAAATATAGAGAGATATATATGTAAATAAATATTAAAAAAAAATAAAATAAAATGAAATATAGAGGAGACAGATGGATAGCAAAGCATATAAACAAAAAAAAAATAAATAAATATAAACAAATAAATAAATAAATATAAATAAATAAATAAATAAATAAATAATAAATAAATAAATAAATAATAAATAAATAGAAATAAAGACGGACAGAGAGAGAAGGAGACAGATAAATTAAAAAAATAAAAAGAAAGAAAAAAGAAATAAAAAGGAGACAGCAAAAGAGACAAATAAATAAAAAGAAAAAGAAAACAAAGAAAAAGAGATAAATAAATAAAAAGAAAAAGAAAAAGAAAGAGAGACAGAATAAGATACAAAAGAAGAGACAGAAAAAGAACAATAAAAAATAAAAAAAAAATAAAAAGCAAAGACAAACCTCATTAGCTGCTGTAGCTTTCTTGCTGCTGAGTTGCTGCTGCGCTGCTGCAGCAGAAGAGACAGCGTGCTGAACTGAACACAAAACAAAAAAAATAACACAACTCCTGCTGCTGCTGCTGCTGCTGCTGTTGCTGCTGCTGCTGCTGCTGCTGCAGCGAAAGCAGCAGCAGCAGAAAGAGCAGCAAAAGAAGCAGCAGCACCAGAAACTAAGAACAGCTGTCTACACAGCAGCAGCAGCAGCAGCAGCAGCAAGATCAGCATCTGAGGGGAAACAACAGCAACAGCAGCAGCAGCAGCAGCAGCAGCAGCAGCAGCAGCAGCAGCAGCAACGGACCTGCTAGAAATACAGCAGAAACGATGAGGAGCAGCAGCAACACAGCAGCAAAGACAACACGTAAAGATATTTTTGTTTTTTTTGTTTGGTTTGTTGCTGCTTGCTGCTGCTGCGGGGATACACTGGGGGCTGCATCGGCCCCTAGGCCTCCCTGCAGTGTACATACACCGGAGTCCTTCATCTGCTGCTGCTGCTGCTGCTGCTGCTGCTGCTGTTGCTGGTGGTGGTGGTGGTGGTTGTGGTGGCGGTGGTGGTGCTGCTGCTGATCGTTCTGCTGATGCTGGTGTTAGTGATGCTGCTGCTGCAATTGCAGAGTTAGTCTGCTGCTGTTGCTGCTGCTGCTGCTGTTGCTGCTGCTGCTGCTGCTGCTGCTGCTGTTGGGCGAACAGTCAGCACACAGATATAAATAAAGATAATTAATTAAATTTATTTTTATAAATTTAATTATATTTATAAAACAAAAAACAAAAAAAGAATAGTGGCTTCCGGTTGCATGCAATCAGCAGCAAACAGATAGACAGCAGCAGCAGCAGCAGCAGCAGCAGCCGCAGCAGCCGCAGCAGCAGCAGCAGCAGCAGCAGCAGCAACTGCAGCAGAACAAGTGGATAAATAGTGAAATATGAATGAAATTATAAAACATTAAATTAATTTAATTTATTTTAAATAAAAAATTAAATATTTCAACACAAAAAGAAATAAATGCTGCGGTGTATAGGCAGCTCCCGCTGCAGCTGACCATTGGTCAACCGCAGCAGCAGAGCCCGTTTGTTTTTGTTTTTCTCTTCGTGTGCAGCAGCAAATAAAAAAAAAAATAAATTAAATAAATTAAATTAATTTAAATTTATATTAAATAAATAAAAAATATAATTTTTAGGAAAGAAGAACAAATAGTGCTCAAACGAAAAAAAAATGCAGCAGCAATTGCTGCAGCAAACAGCAGCAGCAGCAGCAGCAGCAGCAGCTGTTGCAGCAGCAGCTGTTGCTGCTGCTGCTGCTGTTCCTGCTACGAAAAGGCAAGTAGGAAAAGAGCAGCAGCAGCTGCAGCAGCAGCAGCAACAACAACGACAGCAGTTGCTGCTGCTGCTGCTGCTGCACACAGCAGCATAAACCAATACCTGCTGCTGCTGCTGCTGCAGTTGCTGCTGCTGCTGTTCTGTCTCTTCTTTTGTCTCCATCTGTCTCTTTTTCTTTTTTGTTTGTTTTTTATTTCTCCCTCTATCTGTCTCTCTTTTTTCTCTCTCTTCTCTCTACCTATTTTCTTTCTTTCTTTTTGTCTCTCTCTTTTTGTCTCTCTCTTTATTTATTTTATATCTGTTTATCTCTCTCTTTCTTTTTGTCTCCTTTCTGTCTCTCTCTGTTTCTTTCTTATATTCTGTTTTTTTTTGTCTCCTTTCTGTCTCTGTTTCCTTCTTTCTGTCTCTCTCTCTGTATTTCTCTCTCTTTCTGTCTTTCTGTCTATCTATCTATCTATCTCTACTTATTTATTTATTTATTTATTTATTTATTTATTTATTTTATTTTTTTTTATTTCTCTTTATTATAAACCTCCTTCTCTCCTTTCCCTGTTAGCTGCCTATACACCTCAACAGAGACAATTCAAATTCACTCTGTCTTATCACCAAACATCCTAATGCTAGCTACCTAGCTAGCTAGCTAGCTAGCTAGCTAGCCAGCTAGCTAGCTAGCTAGCTAGCTAGCTAGCCAGCTAGCTAGCTAGCTAGCTAGCTAGCTAGCCAGAGAGATAGATAGCAAGCTAGATAGATACCTAGCTAGCTAGCTAGCTAGCTAAAAAGCTAGCTAGCTAGCCAGCTAGTTGGCTTGCTATTTAGACCTCGCTAACCAGCTAGCTAGCTAGCTAGCTAGCTAGCTA